GAGCCGTGGCTGCGGAGAACAGGGCGGCTTCGCACCTCTGAAAGCGCAGCAGGGCCTTCCACGGCGGCTGGCAGCGGGCTTTGTCGGGGGCAGTCCGTGAATTTAAGGGGAAACCCAAACGGGACAAGAGGGATCAAAATCCGAAGTTATATTCCAGGTATCATTCTGTTATACTCCAATTTCCAACACGATCACAGTGATTCAGAGGACGGCGTCTTAGTCTGAGGAAACAAAGAGCTCTTCCAGCAGTGATGTACATTTATCCAGGAAATGCAAGTAGGGATGGTGTTGATAGCTACTACGTAATTGTTTTGAAAGGATATAATATCTTAGCCTGTCACAGAGCCATACTATATTGGTTTTAATTCAAAATGGCGTATGAACTAGTGAAAAAAGCAGCCTCACGATAATATTTAGTGAAACAGTAATAAGCAGTAAACCCCTGATTTCTCTGCGTAACAACTCTTAGCGGCCAATTATGAAACACTAACATGGTTTCTTCGTGAAGAACCAAACCACGTGGAACATGGGAGAGCACACAACTGCAAATTTCATTCAGTTAAAGGGTTCAGGAATTTCCAAAGGGAAAATACACTTTTAGGGCCCATCCCCAGGTGTTTGGAGAAGAGCTGAGCTCAAAGTTCAGCCAGAACTGACTGAGCTCCACTAACGCAGTGCACCGTTCTCTTCACCAATAGATCAGAGTCCAGGACAAACTGGCAAAGTGAAGCTGCCTTCATACGTTTGCGCTCACCTCCCCTTGGTCATTCCCTTTCTCCTTGATTTTATTCACTCCCCATTCACATAAGCGTTTGGGGTTTTTTTAAGAAAAAAAAAAGGGGGGGGGAAACTTTGTCCTTCTGTTCTATTAATTGTATCTTACTATATATATATGACATCTATCTTATGTGTAGAGTACATATCTGTAACATAATACATCTATAATATGCATAATACATGTATATGTGCATATATCACACATCTCTAAGAATACACAAGGCTAAATCTTTAGTCCCACTAGTCAACGCACAAACGCGTAGCCCCGGTGCTCCTTTTTTCAGCCCCCTTGAACCACACCAATAC